AAAATCAGCAAGACATTAGTATTAGACTCATAGACCCAAATGGACCTAACAAAAATACATTCTGTCCAACAACAACAGATACAATTTCTTCTCATCAGTGCATGGATTCTCTAGGATAGACTATTTGTTAGGCCAAAAATACATCTAAAAGTTTTCTAAAACTATATCTCATATCAAGTATCATTGCTTACCACAGTTAAATAAAACTAGAAATTATTAACAAGAGTTTATACTGCAAATCACACAAATACATAAAAGCTGGTTGATACTGGTATGCTACTGAATGATCACTGGAATAAGAAAGAAAGTAACATGAACATTTTTAAAAAATCTAGAAATGAATTAAAATAAAAGCACAATATATTAAAACTTAGGGGTTGCAGCAAAGTATTTTTTTATTTTCAAAAATTATTTTAATTGACTTTATTTACTTATTGATTTATTTACTTATTTTAATTTTAACAGAGAGGGATAGAGCAAGAGAGAAAAAGAGAGGGAAAGTGAGAAAGCAAGCCTTCAGGTCCTGAACTTGAACCAATGTAGGCCATGTGGGAGTCCAACACCCTCAACCATGAAGCCACCTGCCAGCGGGCCACTAGCAGCAAAGCAATTTCAGACAGACCTTATAGCAATAAGTGTCTTCATCAGGAAAAACAAACAAACAAACAAACAAAAAGATTTCAAATACAAATCTTACAATTTAGCTCAAGTAACTGAAATACAAGAATTACTAGCCTTAAATTTAGCCAAAAAAACAAAAATTATAAAGATAAGAAAAAGAAAAAACAAACTTGAGGTCAGAAAACCAACACAAAATATAAATAAAGGCATGGGATCCCACATAGTCGATGGCACAGTTTGAGTTCCAGACCCAGTGACTTCGTCCAGTTTGTGTGTGTGCCCAAAATACTAAAAGGAGGGAGAAATAGAGGAGAAGGGATTATGGTGTGACCATGCCTCATGGGGATGTGTTTTCTCATTTTCCATTCCTCTATCTCACTCTGTCTTTCTCTGGTGAGTCTACATGCTCTCTAGCAAATTAAAAATAATAATAAATAAATTTTAAAAATCAATAAAATAAGAACTTGGTGTTTTGAGAAGATAGACAAAATTGACAAATCATTAGCTATACTAATGAGAGCAAAATTGAGAAGAGGACAAATAAACACAAAAAGGAGACATTAGAGCTGATATCAAACAAACACAAAAGATAACTAGAGACTACCGTGAATAATTGTGCTTGGCCCATCCTTGCATCTCCATGATCAAACCCTTGGTAATAGTATACAATATTTCTAATCTGTTGTTGGAGTCTATTTGAGAGTGTTTTCTTGAGGACTTTTGCATCTATATTTATCAAGTTATTGGTCTTTAGTTATTCTTTAAAGATTTTATAGAATTCTGCAATGAAACCATGTGGTCCTTGGCTTTTCTTTGTTAGGAGACTTACTATTACTGATTCTGTCTCATTGTTATCAACCTATTCAGATTTTCTGGTTTTTTTTTTTTTTTTTTACTGATCTTGTCTTGGTAGGTTTTACATGTCCATGAATTTATCCCATTCATATAGATAGGAAGAGAGGATTTGTAATATTTTCTGAAGAAATTTCTAGACATTTATGAAAAAGATAATGAGAAAAGTTGCATGAGCTTTTAACATAGTCTAAACCAGATTTTTAAAATTCAGTTTGCATAGGATGCATGACAGAAAGGGAAAGAAAATGAGAAAGCAGCCCTCAGGAGAAATGACCATACTTCAATCCCTTCTCCTCCATTTTTCTCTAGGGACTTATTAGGTATGCACGCACATGTGTCCAGCTTGTTTTTCTAGCTTCCACTCTGGGACTTGAACCATGTAGTCGGCCATGTGGGATCCAGATGTCTTACCCACCATGCCATTGGTTAGCCCAAAGTCAGAGATGTTTATGAGATTTTAATTTGTTAGTAAATGTGGCTATGACACTACTGATTTGGTGATTGGGAGCTCATTTCTCTAAGTTTCCATTTCTATTCTCTTCATGAGCACTCTCAACCAAAATGCAAATACTGTATTCTACAACTCCCAGTCAGGGTCAGATTGGGAGGTCCAATTTATCAGGCACCTCCTGAGATATAAATTTGCATTATACTAAATGTTTCCCCTGAGATTTGTTGCTTTCTCTATCTTGATATTTACAAGAGCACAAGTCCAGATTCTGTTCCACACTGGAAGTCTCCATAAGTAGGGAAGGAATTTCTCCAACATGATGCTTTCCTGGATGTGGACTTCTGGCCAATGATCTGGATATGAAGGTTTTGCATACCTCCATCTTTGTAGCCCTGTTCATATGTTCCTATGACAAAAGTAAGTATCAAGTACTCAAATCATCATTGCTAGTTAGCATTGAAAGGAGCACAAAAAGCCTCAAACATTATTTTTTTTTCAAACAAAAACAGGGAACCAGCAGTTAGCGTAATGGCTATGTCGCTGGACTCCCATGTAGTTGACCGCGGTTCGCGTCCCAGACCCGGAGGCTTAAAACTCACGACGGGCGCGTGTGCGTGCGTGCCCAAGATCCCGAGAGGAGAATGGAGGAGAAGGGATTGCGGCGTGACCATCCCCTCTGGGGGGTGATTTCTTGCTTTCTGTCTCTCTGTCTCTGTCTGCCTGGCGAGCGCACACGCCCTATAGCGAAAACCTCTCCAAAAAAAACAAACAATCAAACAAACAAAAACAGAAAATAAAAGTAAAACCAAGAGATGTCAAATAGTTATACCGCAAGCATTCTGTTAGCTGATCATCTCACTCTTAGTCCACTGTTCTTTCCATTCTATCATGCTGCTCTACAGCATCCAAATTTTCAAGTTCAGTACCATCAGATGTCTTATATAAATAACTAGGGTGATAGTTAAAATGGAAACTGCACCTCCTAATTATATTTAGAATTGTGATAGGAGTAGAAGTACAAAGATCAAAATCTTCTTTCTTTTTTTAAAAAAATATTTTTTTATTTTCTTTTAATTTCTTTTATACATTCAACCCATATACATCAACTTAGCTTATAAACTGAATTTTCCAACATGAATACATTTCACACCAGTCCAGCTGGGGATACTATATACGTTATCATCAACAAATAATAATCCTTTTCTGTGTCCCATAAATGTCTTGCCTCTCTATTTTTCTCCTTAATGTCTTTCCTCAAACCCTTATTTATGAATTGCAGGGCTGACACAAATTTTATTTTATTTACTTTTTATTTGTCAGAGGGCACACATGCTCACTGGACAGAGAGAAAGGGAAGTAAGAAAGTACTCTCCATGGAGTATGGTAACAGAGCAATCGCTTCCCTGTTTCTCCCAGCTTTGGGAATTTGGGGCTTGCATGCACTTGCCCCTAACATGGTTTTCTAGCCTCTGGCTCTGAGACTCAAATGGTATCATTGGTCATGTGGAATCCAGTCACCTTAACCACTAGGTCATGTCTGGCTTAGTATTCTTATCATCTATATGGGAATACAAAATGTTAGATTCTTTAATTCAAGAACACCAAAGTTTTAATATTCATTATTGGCTTAATCAATGGTTCAGATGGCCTGATTTTAAAATGTTAAAATATTTAATGATTTTCAAATAATTTTCTTACTCATTGTCAAATAAAAGTAGAATAGCCTGTGAAAGAAGTGGAGAATGATTTTCACCATGACTGTCCTTAAAGACAAGGAATGCATCAACTCCTTCCTTGAATATGAAAGAGTATTAACCCAGAGGAAAGTAATATGAATCAAGATTCCAGCGTCAAAAGTGTCTTTTGGATCAAGAAAGCATCTTCTACAGCAGTACAATAAGCTGTCACCTGAACCACAGTTGGAGGTAAGCACCACCAGTTACACTAAGTTATGTGCAGGAAGTCTATGGCTTAGTCTTGAGCATAGAGGCTTTGAGGGAAAACAGAAGTAATTTTTCTATTTTCCCCTGTCCTCCTCCCTGACAAAGAAAAAGTTTTGACATGGGTGACGGTGGGATGTCAAAAACATTGTCCAAAAGAAAAATGAATATTGTGACAGAAAGAGAAAGGAACTAAACTTTTGCTTCAAACATTTGAAAACTGTTCCTGTACTTTTTCAGTCACTTAAAGACACCAAGATATCATTAAGAATATATCCCGTAGATCATGCATCTCCGTTAGGTGACAGCATTTAAAAGGGATCACCCAGGTAAGGGCCCCTATAAATTAGAGAGAAAAATGTAGGCATCTTTCAGCAAGATCCCTAACCAATATGTAACTTCAGTTACTAGAAACAGGTTGATGAATCAGACCATATAGCACAGTGGTAACACAACTAAACCCTCATAGGAAAATCATGGGTTTACATTCTGGGACATCTCTGTAAATGCACAATCCATGATCTGAGTTAGTTTATACTGGGGATGGATCACAGCATCAAGGCTGCCTCTCTGTCTCTCTGAAGCTCTCTTTTCCTCTGCTTTTCTCTCACACAAAAAGAAATAAATAAGTAAAAAAAAATGAAAAGGTTGGTAAGGGAGTCTATTAGAAATGGAGAGTACATTTGACAGATCTTGTCAGAATTTTATACCACAGAATAACACAGTGTTGTCTAAGTTTTACTTTCTGTTAAGGTTTCTATGCATATTTTAGACAAACATTTGTAAGACATGACAGGTGGTGGAAAAAAAAATGCATTGTGGTAGTTTAACAGAGTACATCATTCACCCGGGAAATTAAAATGTGCCCTAGAGTTATGTGAACCATCTGGAGAAGCTGTGATCAGCAGAGACACCCCAGTGCTCATTCATACCACTTTCAGAAGAGTACATCACTCAACCCACCCTACTCAGCATCTGCTTCAGCTTCTTGCCCGTGGACACCTGCCTTCTCAGCTAGTTGACACTTGTGAGACCCTGACCACACTTCACTTTCCACAGTAGTGTTCAACTAGGATAATTGTGTGTCTTCTCATCTTGCCATAGGTGCCTTTCTTCATAATTTCTAAATTACTTTGATGGAGAATATTTCAGAGGTGACAGAATTTATTCTTGTTGGGTTAACAGATGCCCCGGAGCTTCAGGTCCCTCTGTTTATAATGTTCACTCTCATTTATTTTATTGCTCTGGTTGGGAATCTTGGAATGATTGTGTTGATACTGTTGGACTCTCAGCTCCACACCCCCATGTACTTTTTCCTCAGTAACCTCTCCCTGGTGGACTGTGTTTATGCCTCAGCTGTCACTCCTAAGGTAATAGCGGGGTTTCTTACTGGAGATAAAGTCATATCCTATAATGCATGTGCTACCCAGATGTTCTTCTTTGCAGCCTTTGCCACTACTGAAATTTTTGTCTTGGCCTCAATGGCTTTTGACCGTCACGCAGCAGTGTGCAAACCCCTGCATTACACCACCACCATGACAAGTACTGTGTGTGTCCTACTGGTCATTGGCTCCTACATCTGTGGACTCATACAGTCTTCCATCCATGTTGCCTTTACTTTCCGTCTCTCCTTCTGTCACTCCAATGTAGTTCGTCACTTTTTCTGCGACATTCCCCCACTGCTGGCTCTTTCTTGCTCTAATATATACCCAAATGAGATTGTGCTCTTCACAGTGGCAACATTAGACATCGTTTTCACTCTCTTGGTTATCTTAAACTCTTATTTGTTTATATTTATTGCGATTCTGAGGATGCATTCAACTGAGGGACAGAAGAAGGCCTTCTCCACCTGCACATCCCACTTCACCACTGTTTCCATTTTCTATGGGACAATCATCTTCATGTACTTACAGCCTAGCTCCAGTCACTCCATGGACAAAGACAAAGTGGCCTCTGTGTTTTATACGATGGTCATCCCCATGCTGAACCCTCTGGTCTACAGCCTGAGGAACAAGGAGGTGAAGAATGCATTCAAGAAGGTTTTTGGAAAAACAAAGTCTTCACTGGGCTTAGCTTTCTAATATGCATTGCTTGAAAACCATGTGAAACTTCCATCAAACTTCTTGTGTCTAAAAATATTATTAAATTTTAAATATACTTTATCTTTAATTTCTCTGAGCAGTTCCTTCTCACAAGAGGCCTGTTCTATTTATGCTTTAGAGATATGCTGAGGTAGTGAATATTACATTTTGATGCATCACATTTTCTAATTTCAGTATTCTTGCATATAAAACATGATGTTCTACCAACATAAAAAGCCCTGATATCAATAGCTAAATGTATCAGTTTGCCAAGTGTACCTTAATAAAATACTGTAAACTGACTAGCTTAAAGAACAGAAATTTTTTGTTTGTTTACATTTTTTTTTTAATTCTAAATATTAGAAGTCCAGGTTTGAGATGCTGCATCAATGGTTTCTTCTGAAGCTCTTCTTGGCTTACAGATGAACTTCCTCTTGTTGTATGTTTACATGGTCTTTCCACTGTGCATGCAAACTTTAGTGCCTCTTTGTACACTCAATTTCCTCTTTAGTAAAGAAAATAAAAAAGAAGCAGCAGCTTATTTATTTATTCATCAGAAAAAGAGAGAGACCAAGAGAGAAAAAGACATTCACAACAGAGTCTTCCTGCCACAATCTACCCCAGTGTCAGTCAGCCATGATAATGTTCTCATGCATGTACACCCAATGTGTACAAGGATACTTTGTGATATGAACCCAAGACCCTCACAAGTGACTTCAACATCAACAGAGCATTGTGTTACCACTGAGCCTCCATGGCTGGCCATACTCTTTAATAATAACAGTAATTAGAATGTATTATGGTCCACTTTTACTACCTTGTGTTATCTTAATCATCTCTTTAATCACCTATCTACATATAGTCCCATTCTGAGGTACTGGGGCCTACAGCTTTCATATGTGTTTGTAGGATCAGGGAGAACAATTCAGTCTGAAACACCAGGGACAGATAGGCATTTCTTAATGGACAAGACATGGAAGGGGACCCTGGAAAAGAGAACAGTATTTGAAAAGGAAAAAATATATAGACCACTTGACTAATTCCAGAAAATTATAATTACTACTATTTGGAGAATTTTAATTATCAGACACATTTATTTATTATAGTGTGATAGACTCATTAGGTAAAGTGACTATAATACAATCATGTTAATTTTATCATATTCTTTTTGGGGTTTTTTTTGAGAGTTTTTTTTTTTTTTTTCCCGCTATAAGGCACGTGTGCTCGCCAGAAAGAGAGAAAGATTCAGAGAGAGAGAAAGTGAAAAATCACCCCTCCAGCGGGGATGGCCACACTGCAACCCCTTCTCCATTCTCCTCTCAGGATCTTGGATACACATGCACATGTGCCTGGCATGAGTTTAAGCCACCAGATCCAGGACTCAAACTGCAGTCAACGACATGGAAGTCCAGTGACATAGCCGTTATGCTAACTGCTGGTCCCAATTTTATCATATTCTAATTAATATATCATCTCCCAAATTCCAGATAAACTCCAGGTGAGTCTCTGGAATCTAAGGCATGTATCTTAGAGCTTCTATGAGAGAGAAGAGTCCAAAAGGGCTATCGAGAAAACATATATATCAGTTCCATCAAAGGTACCCCAGAACATCAGAGGAGAGGGGAATAGTCTGTCATGCTGGACCAACAAAGGTGATCTGGTTCTCCACTACCCAGAGACATGTGAACCTCTGGAAAAAAAGAGAGAGTTTATTTTATTTAAGTCGAATGACAAGCCAAATATAAATCAATTTCCAAATGAATTAGTTTATTACAACAAACACACACTTACAACAGGGACGTAGAAAGCCTGGTAAAAGAGAAATTAAACATAAAATGAATTGTACAGGCACTTAGCGCTGGTTAATGAACTTATGTCCAAATGCCTTATGTCCAAAGAAAGAAGTTCAAGATGAATCAGAAGACAAATTCCCTCAGAAAGGCACTCAAGTAGGTCCAGAAGGCTGGTCAACAGTAATGAGGTCCAGACCATCCACTTTGATATTCTCTTGCTGCAATGTTTTTATCAAGTGAATACTGGCACAGGATGGTTTCACAGAGACATATGTCTCAGGAGACAATCCCCACAAACACTAGTATTTATAACCCTAGTGACATGGTGGGTTTCAGGCATTGATTTTGGAGAGACAAAATCCAGATGCTAATTTTTACCAATTTCCTGGAGGAAAAAGTCCTGGATGCCAACTTTGTTATGTATACAGGGCATACTGGTCACAGTGGTTACCTAAGATCATGGTGGACAGTTCTGGCAAAAAATGTTCTTTATATTGACTTCTTTCTTCTCAGCATGTGCACCTGGTGTTTAGCTCCATCACAGCTCACTAATTAGAAGTGAAACTTTCTATGGTATGGAGCCAGCCTCTCCAAACCACAAGCTTGATACTTCAGCAATGCCAGATCTACATCCACAGGCCTCCTCAGTAAATTGTACATGTAACTAAAATTTAATACAGACACTTCTCATAAAAATAACAATACAGCAAACATTACATCAGTGTCACTTATAGGAGCTGGACATCTGAACTAAGAGTATGTTCTGGGGGCCAGTAACAGCTAAATAGTTTAGCCTCTCAATGACTTCAGCTATAATTTGAAGGAGAAGAGAGTTTGAATTTGCTTTAAAAGGATCATTACTGACCAGCAGGTTGTGTGGAGGTTGAGGTGATGGATCCCAGATGACCAGCTTTACAGTTAGAGTTCCAGACCAGTGGCTTGAGAATTACATAGAGTGTGTGTAAGTGCATGTCCAAATCTTCAAGAAGAAAGTGGAGAATAAGAGATTGTGGTGTGGCTATCCTCCAGGGGTTGATTTCTCACTTTTTCTCTCTGTTTCTCTTTGAAGAGTTCACATGCCCTATAGCAAAACAAAACAAAACAAATAAATAAACAAAATTGAAAGTTCTCTGTTGAAAATGATAAATGATATATATTTAAATTTAAATTTATTTATTTATTTAAATTCAATCATTGTGTAGCATTACAGTATACCAAATGAATTTTCCAAGCATGAATATACTGCGTATTGGTTCAGTCAAAGATATTATCATATATATTACCACCAGCAGTTAATTTTCCATTTTTGTTTCTCTCAAATATTTTGCTTCTTTCTTTTCCCTCTTTTGAAAAATTATTTATTTAATTTTATTAAGTATTATTATTATTTTTTTTTAATTCAAAAGAGAGAGACAGAGAAAGAGGGAAGGAGAGAAAACAAGTTACCAGGTCTGGGACTCAAAGTTAGTCAGCCATGTGTAAGCCCATCGCCTTAACAACCATGCCAACTGCTGGCCCATTATTTTATTTTTTACTTCTTATTCACATTTAATTGTCATACATCTCTACAGCACAGAATATGTTGTTTGTAAAGGCAACATGGTTGGAAGACTGTATGAGTCCACAGATGTAGGAGCCAATGACCAGTAGGACACACACAGTACTTGTCATGGTGGTGGTGTAATGCAGGGGTTTACACACTGCTGCGTGACGGTCAAAAGCCATTGAGGCCAAGACAAACAATTCAGTAGTGGCAAAGGCTGTAAAGAAGAACATCTGGGTAGCACATGCATTATAGGATATGATTTTATCTCCAGTAAGAAACCCCACCATTACCTTAGGAGTGACAGCTGAGGCATAAACACAGTCTACCAGGGAGAGGTTACTGAGGAAAAAGTACATGGGTGTGTGGAGCTGAGAGTCCAACAGAATCAACACAATCATTCCAAGATTCCCAACCAGAGCAATAAAGTAAATGAGGGTAAGTAAAACTATGTAACTGATAAACTAAAAGAGAAGCTGTTGAAAGAAATTTGTAAAATGAATAAACTTTTGTGAGTATTTCAGGAATACTAGAGGGTGGCATACTAAAGAGAGACTTTTTGTACCTCTATTCCAAATAAACCATGAAAGTTATTCATTCTTTTTAAAATTTATTTTTTTATTTCTTACATGAGCAAGAACTACAGTTTAATTTTTTTCTTTTATTCATGATACACTACATGTGTGCCCATATGAGAATGAAAGAAAGAAAGAGAAAGAAAGAGGAGCACCCTCCCTGTAGTCAGGTCACGGCGTAAGTTTTAAGCCACTGGGTCTGGGATGCGAACTGAGGTCGACCACATGGTAGTCCAGCGACATAGCCATTACGCTAACTGCTGGTCCCAAAAAGAAAAAAAATTCTTACATAAAATAAAAGATCCAAATGGAGGGAATTCTCCAAAAATAATCTATGAGGTCATCATTATCCTGATTTCAAAGGCAGACAAAAACTAACAGCAGATTAAAAAAATATCAAAGACCAATATCCCTGATTAACATAGATTCAAATACACCCAACAAAATACTAGCAAACTGAATTCAAAAGCACATCAAAAACATAACATACCCTGATCAAACATAATTAGCTCTAGGATTGTGAGAATGGTTCAACAACCAAAATTCAAAAATAGGAAATATAAAAATCATATGAATCCATTAAATGATGTAGACAGAGCATTTGCTAAACTATAATATCCACTAATGATTAAGACACTCAACATATTAGGTATAGAAGGCACGTGTCTCAACATAATAAAAGTCATGTAGGACAAATCCAAGCTAACATACTGAATAGGGAAAAGTTGAAAGCTTATCCTCTAAACACTGAAATAAGACAAGTATTTTCACTTTTCCTATTTCTCTTTTACATAGTTTTAGAAGCTCTGCTCAAAGCAATTAGGCAGAAAATATATAGGAAATAAAAGACATCTGCAATGGAGTGGATTAAGTTCAATTGTCTGCAGATGACACGACCATATGCATATAAAAACTTATTTAAAGAATTCTTTAGAAAGCTCCTAAAGCTAATAAATTAATTTATTGATATTAAAATGACAGGATACAAATCAGTATACAAAAATAAGTTGCATTATTTTAGACTAATAACAAACTGAGAAAGAAATTTAGAAAATAATACCATTTATAATCGCTATAAAAATTAATTCC